CTTTCTTAAAGCCTACCTGCGTATTTTTGTCATTACAGTTACAAATCCCCTTTTGTATCCTAAACTCTAAAAATTAGTATCTGTCTATATTTCTGAGATGAGGTATTATGTACATTATTTACATTATTCGGACTATTGTCCTCATCTTTGTCGCCATATTTATTACAACGTTTCAGCCCTTCAGTATCTGTCTATATTTCTGAGATGAGGTATTATGTACATTATTTACATTATTCGGACTATTGTCCTCATCTTTGTCGCCATATTTATTACAATGTTTCGGCCCTTCAGTATCTGTCTATATTTCTGAGATGAGGTATTATGTACATTATTTACATTATTCGGCCTATTGTCCTCATCTTTGTCGCCATATTTATTACAATGTTTCGGCCCTTCAGTATCTGTCTATATTTCTGAGATGAGGTATTATGTACATTATTTACATTATTCGGACTATTGTCCTCATCTTTGTCGCCATATTTATTACAACGTTTCGGCCTTTCAGTATCTGTCTATATTTCTGAGATGAGGTATTATGTACATTATTTACATTATTCGGACTATTGTCCTCATTTTTGTCGCCAAAACGCATTACAACGTTTCAGCCGTTGTACGCTCCGGCCTTCTTCAGGTGGTTGGACACATGGCACAGTGGATAAAGGCGTTGGTTAGATCCAGTGAGAGGACCCAAAGAGTGTGAGTTCAATACCTGGTTAAAGCAGTGGAGAACTTGGAGAGGGAAATTAACAGGAGATAACTGATAACTGACATCCATCAAACATGGCACGTGGAACTAGAACAGTCTACCCCAGTGAGCGAAATAAAGGGTTCAATTCGACATCCCAACCATCTGAAGAAGGCCGTTGTAATAAATATGGCGACAAAGATGAGGACAATAGTCCGAATAATATTACTCTAAAAATTAATAAAAATTTTAAAATTTAAATTTTTTTTTTAATTTAAAAATTAATAAAAAAATTTTCTTCCTGTAATCCGAACAGTCACCTCAATACCGGACAGTACTCTGATGTTCACTGTCGTGGTTTTATACTGTAGTATATTTGATATCATGACCTTCCTCCGAAACATTGCATAGCTGTCTGGGCTACTCTAACCATAAGGTTTCCGACCCCTGATTTAAGATCACGTGCGTTTTCAACTTTTCAAACTGCGTCTTATACACTTTAGCGATCTGTACACAAAGGATTACGGTAATTAGTATTTCAATATTAGCCTGGTGTTTCAATGTCTTTAAAATCTACCAGCAATAAATATGGCGGAACACCATTAGTACTTGCCATATTCACAGACTTCGGGCATAAGTGATGCTTTCTTTTTACGTATATCTAAATTTTAGTTTTTGAAACTGAAAATTTCACTAAAATATGATGGAAAATGTCCAGGTTTTTATCTGAAATCAAAAAAATACAAACCCTAAGCAAATTAGTTGCAATTCAAGGAAAAAAAACCCGGCTTCTATTTAAACTGACACCAGGCGGATACGGGTTAAAATAAGATGCCACACATTTTATTCATACCATTAGCATGTTGTCATCATACAAGAATTCAAAATTTAATATCAGTGTTTAGAAAAAATTACATACAAATTGTTGATAAAAGGAAATAATTTACAGAAAAATTTAGCTAATTAATACGTAATCTTCGGGTGTCTGTTTAAGCAGACATATTTTTTTCATATTTCTAAACTGTAAACTATAATTTTGAGAAATTAAAATTTCACTGAAAATTGGTAAATTTCCAAACGTTCAACTGGAATCCATAAAATACGAAATTTAAGCAAAACGGTCACAGTACCCGAAGAACAGCAGTCTGTGAATTCAAATGAATCGACTCGTATTTCTTCCCGCCAAGACATGCTGTAGGTTTTACTCATGGCAATGGCATGCTGTTCTCAGACCAGAATTTAAAATATTTAATATTTAGAATAGAATCCATGATACGGCAGAGAGTTAAGGAACCAATGCTGACTTATAAAATCTGTCTATCCTTTTGACATTCTACCGGAATTTTATTTAATCGTACAGAGATAGAATCTGGTTTTGTTTCAAATTGTCACAGTGTTTAAAAAAGAAATGTCTACACGAGTGAATGCTGAAAAGATCTCGCCCCTACTCACTTTTTTTTTGTTTTCCTAAATTATTTCTTCCTTAATGTTCACCCTATACGAAGTCTGATCAAAAGGTATGGGGTCTGGTGCTATAAAAAGAAAAATACAACACAATATCTATTCGGAATGGAGTAGATAGGTTTGCCTATTATCCAGTTCACACTCCTCCCCACTCTTTTTTAACATGGGTAGAGGTCTGTTCCCTGTTTAGGATTTCATTCTAGGTTCCTTCTAAAGTCTGCTTCAATTTTATACTTCTAACATCTCCGCGTAAACTCTGAAAATTTACTGACTAATTAAATTTTGACCTCTTCAATATTATCATATTATTCAAGGAATTGATTGTAAGTTAATGCCGTATTAAGTCTTATTAGCGAAGTGATTTCACCATTAATCACATTAACATTGCTAACTAATTGTTTATATAATTACTTCTTTATGATATATATAATAATGGACTCTCCCGTCGGTTTCGACGTATGAGGATCTGACAGCTTACTTGATTCAGTTATGAAATTTTGTGCGATAATCTTAAGTGGCATTTAAGACCCGCTAGTGATTTACAAAGGAGGCCACATATGGAGCAAGTGTGAGGATTGTGAGATGAGATCACTGTTAGATTGGTTGACTTTTAGTTCATGCTAAAAGTTCGGCCAATCTATATGATATATATATATATATATATATATATATATATATATATATATATATATTGTAAAATAGTCATTCAAAGAATAAATCAATAAAGTTAATGTAATAATTAGGGAATTCACTTCGTTAACAGATTAATTATGCATTAGCTTACTGACCACTAGCTCAATGATGCGATCTTTGTTTTTATTAATTTTCGTGTTGAAATTTTTACCCGGAATTACGTGAAATTGAGGAAAAAAATAACGTCTATGCTTGAAAATGGTGAATGTGTTCACCGAAAAGTACTTGTAAAAAATATGGACCGAACATCTAATTCATTGTATAATTAATAAAAACAAGGATCGTGTCGTTTAGCGAGTGGTCAGTGAGTTAATGCCTTATTTAATCTGTTAGCGAAGTGAGTTCGCCATTAATTACCATACATTTATTGATTTATTCTTTGAATGACTATTTTATAATATTAATGAAGCTGTATAATTATTATCTATAATTCTCAAAATGTGTGTGTGTGTGTGTGTGTGTGTGTGTGTGTGTGTGTGTGTGTGTGTGTGTGATCAGATATTGTTTATGCGTTTCCACAGTTTTCATCGAGTTTCCATGATTTTTTTTTTATTTAATAGATAATTATTCAGTGCCGGATTTGAGACTAAATTGTTTGGAAAAAATTACAAAAAATTTAATGTCTGTAAAAAAACAGCGTACAATCAATTTAGAAAGTTGAAATCTCACGCAAAGGATTATTAGCATTATAAAAAAAAATTATATTATAAATAAAAATTATCGCATATTATTATTATGACGGGCCATGGAAGAAGTTTGTTCCTTGCAATATTGAGAAGGCAAAAACTGTCCTTTTTAGGGTCACCCCCCCCCCATTCAAATTGTTAACTTCCCCCATCTGGGGATGTGCCTCAGTTGCACCCAAATGTTGTTACTAATATTGATTTTCAGGTGGGCTGACTTTAAACTTAAACTGCTCAAACTAAACAGCAAAATTCCCCAGAAATGAAACACACACACACACACACACACACACACACACACACACACACATATATATATATATATATATATATATATATACAATCATTCTGGTATAATTCAGATATTTTCAAGCGTAAAACTGCTAGTAGCTATATATATATATATATATATATATATATATATATATATATATGAAGAAGTATAGTCTTAAATTGTGCTATATTTATGGGATAAAGTGCTCAATATCAGAGATAGAGCGGTGTAAATATAAAATGAACAAAGAAGTCAACACTTAGAGGCGACAGTCTGTTTCATGCTATATGTCGCCCCTAAGTGTTGATTTCTATGTTCACTTTATATTATACACACACACACACACACACACACACACACACATATATATATATATATATATATATATATATATATAATATAATCACTGCTATAATTCAGATGATATTTTCAAGCGTAACACTGCCAGTAATATATATATATATATATATATATATATATATATATATATATAATATATATATATATATATATATATATATATATACACAATCACTTTGTATAATTCAGATATTTTCAAGCGTAAAACTGTTAGTAACTATATATATATATATATATATATATATATATATATATACATATATATATATATATATATATATATATATATATATATATATATATATATATATATATATATATATATATATATATATCGATTTTAGGTGCTGTTCAACTTATAATTACATGAATCATTCATACAAAACCTTTAAAATCATTTAAAAAAATCATTAATCTCTATATTTGTTTTTGTATGAATGATTCATGTAATATATATATATATATATATATATATATATATATATATATATATATATATATATATATATATAATCACTCTGGTATAATTCAGATGATATTTTCAAGCCTAAAACTGCCAGTCACCCTGTAGTGTTTATTTTTCAGTGTCTACATCATTTATATTTTATTTATATTCTGTTTCCCATATTAAACACATGTGTCCCTGGAAATATTGCAATTTTTAAAGTACTTCCGTTGATGTGCTTCAAATGATACAGTCTTTTATAAAAACAACTGATTTACTGAGAAAATGAAAGCTACCGAAAAGGCCATTTCTATGGTCCACAGTATTCCCACCCTCTTCGCCATATTGGTGCCATCTGATGTTGTAATTTAATCAAATCTCGGTGCGTAGAGAAACATGAACCACCTCGTGACTGTGAGTCTTACTTATTTCTTGCTGGTACTAGAGGTCGGTTTTCGGAACGAGGTCAACCTCCAAGATTTCACATGGTAATCCTTTCCAGCCGACAGCCTCTACAGTCTTACAAAATTGGCGCAACACATCCTTCTTAACATCATTTATCTCTGCCTGCCGTTTAGTTTTATAGTAAAAATCAATACAGTGGACGTTAACGAGGCTAGAATACAATATTCGACATTATTTACTCTAAAAACGCACCTAGGTCTGAGGTAATGGTTAACGAGGCCAGCATGTTTCGCCATTCCTACTGAGTTGTGATTTCGATCCTTACTGAGTGCCTCATACCATATTCGACATTATTTACTCTAATAACGCACCTAGGACTGAGGTAATGGTTAACGAGGCTAGCGTGTTTCGCCATTCCTACTAGGTAGTGAGTTCGATCCTCAGCACGTGCCTCATACGATATTCGACATTATTTACACTAATAATGCACCTAGGCGTCAGGTAATGGTTAACGAGTCTAGCAAGTTTCACCATTCCTACCGGGTAGTGAGTTCGATCTTCACCCAGTGCCTCATAAGATATTCGACATTTCTTACACGAATAACGCACCTAGGCGACAGGTAATGGTTAACGAGTCTAGCATGTTTCGCCATTCCTACTAGTGAGTTCGATCCTCACCGGGTGTCACAGAAACATGACAAAAACAGTTAAATGAATATATCAAATCAAAGTGAGTATCAAAATATCTATGTTCCTCTATGTACTGTTCCCCTTCAGCGATCATGGTTCTCCACGCTTTCCGATCCTTTGAAGCTCTTATGTACGGAAAGCGTAATGGCTACCGGCAAGGAATTGTATGCCAGAACAAAGACTAAGAGGAATAATAAGGATATAAATATTACTTGAGGGTAGGTAGTAGTGGAGAGCCATGATCGTCCACGTCCTGAAGAGACACGGTACATAAAAGAGACACGGTACATAAAAGAAGAAACGTAAATGTAAAAAAAAATAATAGCGCTGTTGATGTGTCGAACCTATTAAAGAGAATTAAATCCTTTTTCGTGGATGATCATAGCTCTCCACAACTTCCTGTTGTTTGTTGTTTTTTGTTGATGTTAAGAATTTAAAAAATGAAAATCTTTTAAAATATCCGTTCTTTTTAATAAACAATTGTTTCAAATATTTATTTTTTTGTCACGCGTTATATTTCGATGGAAACTAAATGTCATCAGTTCTCATGAAATTCTTGTTTATCTGACGAATGTTTTATGGAACCACACCCGTAAAAATCACTCTAGACTTTCTTTTGCATCAGATTCAAATTTAAATACGTAGTGTGGCTTCTCGGATTAACATAGGACAGAGTACCCATGTGACAGTTCAATGATTCATGCAATGTACATAAGATTTTGAGGTTTAGAATTTGACTCAGAACGAAAGAAAAGAAACCCCCAAAATGGGGGTCTAAAGTTGGGTCTGGTACGTTTCGGCGCCAGAAAAATAATTGGATTATTTGGCACAGCTGTTTCAACGTCAGACTGTTTCGACGTCACTGTCTTTGACCAAAGGCAACCCCCGTAAAAAACGGGTAAAAGCATTGAAAACAACCAACTTTTAATATGACTTTTTATTCATTTAAGGCATTAAAGATCCTATTAAAACACTAATGGAATAATATAAATTAAAATCTTCATAAGAAATCTACTTTACACCGAGATTTCTGTTCACATCTCTAAAAATTTTAATTCAGGGTCCCTCTTGCTCGTTTCGTCAAAAAAAAAAAGGTATCCATCTTGTATCACTTTGTTTCTTCCACGTTTTGATCAAATATTTGTTTCCGTTTGGAATAAAAAGGCCTTGACGACTGAGAAACATGAAGATGCAGTGAATGAAATATAATATAAAAAGGCTTTCGACTACTCCCTTTTTTTAAATATAAAAATGTCTCCAACTAGTCTTTTTCTTTTTCATGCAATGTACATAATATTTTGAGGTTTAGATTTCAACTCTGAAGGAAAGAAAAAAAAACCCTAAAACGAGTGTCTAAAATTGGTTCTGGTACGTTTCGGCGTCAGGAAAATAATTGGATTATTTAGCACAGCCGTTTCGGCGTCAGAATGTTTGGACGTCACTGTCTTTGATCAAAGGCAACCCCCGTAAAAACGGATAAAAACATTGAAAACAACCAACTTTTAATATGACTTTTTATTCATCTAGAGGTTTAAGGAATCTATTAAAACATTAATGGAATAATATAAATTAAAAACTGAAATTAAAAAAATTGTATTTCAAGAAAAAATTAAAAAAAAAACTCAGTCAAGGTATTTAATCTTAGGAATTAATTCTTCATTTTGTAATTATTATTAACACACTTCAGGAACTCATTAGGATCGAATGATTCATCTTCCATTATGGCTTTTTTGATTTGTTCGTCAGCATCCCTATACTTTTTAGTTTTTTTTTTTTTTGGAGGGGTCGATATCCAGCGATCAACCTTTCGAGAAATACATCACGTCCTTTCTGAACTTTCTGTAAGGCATCAATAAATTTCCAGATTGCAGGATGATGCGTTTCTAGCTTATATGGCAAAATGAAAAATATTTGCTTCCATTTGGAATAAAATGGCTTTGACGATTGAAAATTATGAAACTGTACTGAAAGAAATCACTATCTATAAAAGGCAGGAGGTGTGTGTGTGTGTGTGTGTGTGTGTGTGTGTGTGTGTGTGTGTGTGTGTAACGAATGCAATTTTCGTCGGATTTGCACCAAAATTTACATGCGCATGCTCCAAGTTAGCGGGAAGGCCAAGACCGACTTTGCATTTCCCAACTCCCATCAATAGTGGAAATAATCGATTTTTTTCATGCTTCTACAGCAGTTTTCATGTAGTTTGCGGCCATTTTCTACTGGCCAGAGTGAGAGCCAATAGCTGGCTGCCACGAATAGGCAGGAAGATTCTATTGGCCAGCGTGAGAGCCAACAGCTGACTGACACGAACGTTAACTAGAATGCTAGCATGCAAAAAAATCGATAGCTGTATTCGTCAAAAGTGGGAAAAATTTAAATCTGCATGGCACTTTACTCCAATTGGCTCGTTCGCTTGCTCAAACTCAACGTTGATTCTGATTCCGCAAAACTAGGTTGGGTGTGAAAAAGTATTTTTTGTTAACATTCTTTTTTCATTCGGTTTTTCCAGTTATGAATCCTTTTTTAAATCTGACCGTTTTGTGTTCATTTTGTTTAGTTCTTTTTTCGTAACAGATTTAATGTTTAGTATAGGGCTTAGAAAAAATTCGCAGTGTGAGATAGGCAAGAAGTAAGGTATGTAGCAACATCAGCACGGCAAAGGGCACTCCTTTAAAGGCAAGGAAGGGCAAAAATATTTTACGTCAAGTGATAGCGATTGCTGTATGAGTCCTACGATTTTTGAATCAACCACGGGCAACACCGGGCCATGCTGCTAGTATAATATAAAAAATGCCTACAAGTACTTTTTTTAAAATTGGACTATTCGAGCAAATTTGAGTATAACAACGAAGTACTAATTTGACTACGAAACGAGAGAGAGAGAGAGAGAGAGAGAGAGAAGACTAAAATGATGAAGTAGTAATTTCACACCCTAATTGTTAATTCGTAAGAAAACTGCAGTGACCTACATGTATCAACCATCAGGTTAACGGATTTGGCACGTTTCGGCGTCGCCCATTTAGCGTCACTGATTCGGCGTCAGAAAAATAATTGGATTATTCAGCACAGCCGTTTAGGCGTCAGACTGTTTCGACGTCACTGTCTTTGACCAAAGGCAACCCCCGTAAAAACGGATAAAAACATTGAAAACAACCAACTTTTAATATGACTTTTTATTCATCTAGGGGTTTAAGGAATCTATTAAGACACTAATGGAATAATATAAATTAAAAACTGAAATTAAAAAAATTGTATTTCAAGAAAAAATTAAAAAAAAAACTCAGTCAAGGTATTTAATCTTAGGAATTAATTCTTCATTTTGTAATTATTATTAACACACTTCAGGAACTCATTAGGATCGAATGATTCATCTTCCATTATGGCTTTTTTTGATTTGTTCGTCAGCATCCCTATACTTTTTTTTTTTTTTTTTTTTGGAGGGTCGATATCCAGCGATCAACCTTTCGAGAAATACATCACGTCCTTTTTTGAACTTTCTGTAAGGCATCAATAAATTTCCCAGATTGCAGGATGATGCGTTTCTAGCTTATATGGCAAAATGAAAAATATTTGCTTCCATTTGGAATAAAATGGCTTTGACGATTGAAAATTATGAAACTGTACTGAAAGAAATCACTATCTATAAAAGGCAGGAGGTGTGTGTGTGTGTGTGTGTGTGTGTGTGTGTGTGTGTGTGTGTGTAACGAATGCAATTTTCGTCGGATTTGCACCAAAATTTACATGCGCATGCTCCAAGTTAGCGGGAAGGCCAAGACCGACTTTGCATTTCCAACTCCCATCAATAGGAAATAATCGATTTTTTCATGCTTCTACAGCAGTTTTCATGTAGTTTGCGGCCATTTTCTACTGGCCAGAGTGAGAGCTAATAGCTGGCTGCCACGAATAGGCAGGAAGATTCTATTGGCCAGCGTGAGAGCCAACAGCTGACTGACACGAACGTTAACTAGAATGCTAGCATGCAAAAAATCGATAGCTGTATTCGTCAAAAGTGGGAAAAATTTAAATCTGCATGGCACTTTTACTCAATTGGCTCGTTCGGTTGCTCAAACTCAACGTTGATTCTGATTCCGCAAAACTAGGTTGGGTGTGAAAAAGTATTTTTTGTTAACATTCTTTTTTCATTCGGTTTTTCCAGTTATGAATCCTTTTTTAAATCTGACCGTTTTGTGTTCATTTTGTTTAGTTCTTTTTTCGTAACAGATTTAATGTTTAGTATAGGGCTTAGAAAAAATTCGCAGTGTGAGATAGGCAAGAAGTAAGGTATGTAGCAACATCAGCACGGCAAAGGGCACTCCTTTAAAGGCAAGGAAGGCAAAAATATTTTACGTCAAGTGATATTTGCTGTATGAGTCCTACGATTTTGAATCAACCACGGGCAACACCGGGCCATGCTGCTAGTATAATATAAAAAATGCCTACAAGTACTTTTTTTAAAATTGACTATTCGAGCAAATTTGAGTATAACAACGAAGTACTAATTTGACTACGAAACGAGAGAGAGAGAGAGAGAGAGAGAGAGAAGAGAGAGAAAAGAAAGAGAGAGAGAGAAAATTTGACTAAAATGATGAAGTAGTAATTTCACACCTAATTGTTAATTCGTAAGAAAACTGCAGTGACCTACACATGTATCAACCATCAGGTTAACGGATTTGGCACGTTTCGGCGTCGCCCATTTAGCGTCACTGATTCGGCGTCAGAAAAATAATTGATTATTCAGCACAGCCGTTTAGGCGTCAGACTGTTTCGACGTCACTGTCTTTGACCAAAGGCAACCCCCGTAAAAACGGATAAAAACATTGAAAACAACCAACTTTTAATATGACTTTTATTCATCTAGGGTTTAAGGAATCTATTAAGACACTAATGGAATAATATAAATTAAAAACTGAAATTAAAAAAATTGTATTTCAAGAAAAAATTAAAAAAAAAACTCAGTCAAGGTATTTAATCTTAGGAATTAATTCTTCATTTTGTAATTATTATTAACACACTTCAGGAACTCATTAGGATCGAATGATTCATCTTCCATTATGGCTTTTTTTTGATTTGTTCGTCAGCATCCCTATACTTTTTTTTTTTTTTTTTGGAGGGGTCGATATCCAGCGATCAACCTTTCGAGAAATACATCACGTCCTTTCTGAACTTTCTGTAAGGCATCAATAAATTTCCAGATTGCAGGATGATGCGTTTCTAGCTTATATGGCAAAATGAAAATATTTGCTTCCATTTGGAATAAAATGGCTTTTGACGATTGAAAATTATGAAACTGTACTGAAAAGAAATCACTATCTATAAAAGGCAGGAGGTGTGTGTGTGTGTGTGTGTGTGTGTGTGTGTGTGTGTGTGTAACGAATGCAATTTTCGTCGGATTTGCACCAAAATTTACATACGCATGCTCCAAGTTAGCGGGAAGGCCAAGACCGACTTTGCATTTCCCAACTCCCATCAATAGTGGAAATAATCGATTTTTTTCATGCTTCTACGGCAGTTTTCATGTAGTTTGCGGCCATTTTCTACTGGCCAGAGTGAGAGCTAATAGCTGGCTGCCACGAATAGGCAGGAAGATTCTATTGGCCAAAGCCAACAGCTGACTGACACGAACGTTAACTAGAATGCTAGCATGCAAAAAATCGATAGCTGTATTCGTCAAAGTGGGAAAAAATTTAAATCTGCATGGCACTTTACTGCAATTGGCTCGTTCGCTTGCTCAAACTCAACGTTGATTCTGATTCCGCAAAACTAGGTTGGGTGAAAAAGTATTTTTTGTTAACATTCTTTTTCATTCGGTTTTCCAGTTATGAATCCTTTTTTAAATCTGACCGTTTTGTGTTCATTTTGTTTAGTTCTTTTTCGTAACAGATTTAATGTTTAGTATAGGGCTTAGAAAAATTCGCAGTGTGAGATAGGCAAGAAGTAAGGTATGTAGCAACATCAGCACGGCAAAGGGCACTCCTTTAAAGGCAAGGAAGGGCAAAAATATTTTAAGTCAAGTGATAGCGATTGCTGTATGAGTCCTACGATTTTTGAATCAACCACGGGCAACACCGGGCCATGCTGCTAGTATAATATAAAAATGCCTACAAGTACTTTTTTTAAAAAATTGGACTATTCGAGCAAATTTGAGTATAACAACGAAGTACTAATTTGACTACGAAACGAGAGAGAGAGAGAGAGAGAGAGAGAGAGAGAGAAAGAGAGAGAGAAAGAAAGAGAGAGAGAGAAAATTTGACTAAAATGATGAAGTAGTAATTTCACACCTAATTGTTAATTCGTAAGAAAACTGCAGTGACCTACACATGTATCAACCATCAGGTTAACGGATTTGGCACGTTTCGGCGTCGCCCATTTAGCGTCACTGATTCGGCGTCAGAAAAATAATTGGATTATTCAGCACAGCCGTTTAGGCGTCAGACTGTTTCGACGTCACTGTCTTTAACCAAAGGTAACCCCTATACAAACGGATAAAATTTAAATACGTAGTGTGGCTTCTCGGGTTAACGTAGGACAGCGTACCAATGTGACAGTTCAATGATTCATGCAATGAACATAAGATTTTGAGGTTTAGATTTTAACTCAGAACGAAAGAAAAGAAACCCCCAAAACGGGGGTCTAAAATTGGGTCTGGTACGTTTCGGCGTCAGGAAAATAATTGGATTATTTGGCACAGCCGTTTCGGCGTCAGACTGTTTCGATGTCACTGTCTTTGACCAAAGGCAACATCTATAAAAACGGATAAAAGCATTGAAAACAAACAACTTTCAATATGACTTTTTATTCATTTAGGGAATTAAGGAATCTATTAAGACACTAATGGAATAATATAAATCAAAATCTTTATAAGTAATCTCAATTTACATGGATGTTTCTGTTCACATCACTAAAACTTTGATTCGCTCGTTGCGTCAAAAATAAAAAGGTATCCATCTTGTATCAATTTGTTTCTCCCACGTTTTGATCAAATATTTGTTTCCGTTTGGAATGAAAAGGCCTTGACGACTGAGAAACATGAAGATGCAGTGAAGGAAATATGATATAAAAAAGTTTTCAACTACTCCCTTTTTTTAAATATAAAAATATCTCCAACTAGTCTTTTTCTTAAATTGGACTATTCGAGCATATAACGATGAAAAACTAATTTGACTATTAAACGAGAGAGAGAGAGAGAGAGAGAGAGAGAGAGAGAGAGAGAGAGAGAGAGAAAGCAAATTTGACAATAAGGACGAAGTATTAATCTGACGTCTAATCGTCACTGCCAAAAAATCCCTATGTCGAATCGGCTACACTGAATCGGCCACGTCGAATCGGCTACCCCGAATCGGCAAAGTCGAATCGGCTACACCGAATCGGCCACGTCGAATCGGCTACCCCGAATCGGCCACGTCGAATCGGCTACCCCGAATCGGCCACGTCGAATCGGCTACCCCGAATCGGCAAAGTCGAATCGGCTACCCCGAATCGGCCACGTCGAATCGGCTACCCCGAATCGGCAAGGTCGAATCGGCTACCCCGTATCGGCCACGTCGAATCGGCTACCCCGAATCGGCAAAGTCGAATCGGCTACCCCGAATCGGCAAAGTCGAATCGGCTACCCCGAATCGGCAGTCGAATCGGATACCCCGAATCGGCCAAGTCGAATCGGCTACCCCGAATCGGCAAAGTCGAATCAGCTACACCGAATCGGCCACGTCGAATCTGCCACGTCGAATCGGCTTCCACCGAATCGGCCACGTCGAATCGGCTACCCCGAATCGGCCACGTCGAATCGGCCACGTCGAATCGGCTACCCCGAATCGGCCACGTCGAATCGGCCAAATCGGTTACATCTTCACCTCCCCCCCACCGGTTCACTACACTCTCCGTCTGACATTCTGACCAATACATACGGGTATTTCATCACGGATCATCTTATAAATAACCATAATTGTGTCACTAATTTCAGTGTGCGTTCATTTTCCATTCTTTGTAAGTCCTACTCGAATTACCATTTAAAAATATTAGAGGCCATATATATTTTGCCTATGACACCTTCGTTATGCAAACAGAAGGATTTTGTACTGGGCCTCCAATTAATTTCCATTTAAGTCTTTTTTCCCCATAAATATTGTCCATCTCTTTTTATTGATAATTCAATCTTTATTAACCTCGATTTAGCTCTATTTAGCTAGGTTCGAAACAGGTTAGCTAACTCGTTTTTTAATTCGCAGTGTGAATCATATCTATCTATCTATCTATCTATCTATCTATCTATCTATCTATCTATCTATCTATCTATTCTCAGCTTCTTCAATACGTATCATTCTTCATCTATCTATCTATCTATCTATCTATCTATCTATTCTCAGCTTCTTCAATACGTATCTATCTATCTATCTATCTATCTATCTATCTATTCTCAGCTTCTTCAAGACGTATCTATCTATCTATCTATCAATCTTTTAATCATTATCATGAGTGGTAATAAATACAAATTTCATGGCGCTCATAAAATTTTGTACCACCAATAAAATCTCTAAGTATTTGTGTAATTTGGTTCTTTATTGTTGTACAATACTGTATATTTTATTTTTAATTTAAATTTAAATTTTATTCGTAGAAAAAGATTTCAATGATGATGAGTGCAAAACAAAGAAAGGTAGATGCTTAAGGCCGATTTTTCCAAAATACTTACACATTAGATTAATTCTTCATCAGGCAAAATAGTTTGTCTAAAAAGCATTGTGAATAAGATAGCAGATATTAGGCGACATTACGAGACGAACCACTAAATATTTGAGAAATTTCCTGGACAAGAAAGGAAAGATGAATTCGAATGGTTGAAGTTCTGAAAAACAAACGTCATTTTTTTTTAGAAAACAGAAAAAACGAAAATGTGAAAAATACAACAGCTATGAAGTCTCAAACGCATCGCTGAAAAGATGAAACATTTTACAGATGGTGATTTATTTTAAAGAATGCTTACTGCCAGTGTTGGATATTGTATGTCCAGAAAAAAAGACTTTATTTGAAACTATCAGCCTGTCGTTGAGGACGGTCACGCGGCGGTTTGAAGAAACGAAAGCAGATGTTAAAAAGCAATTAATTAACGCTTTCAGTGAATTAAAATATTTTTCAATTGCAGTCGATGAGAATGCAGACTTAAGTGACACTGCACAACTTGCTGTTTTTGTGAGAGGAATTTCAACTTTTTAGTTGTTTGAAGAATTTATTCCTATGAATGAAACCGTAGCCAGTACAGACATCTTTGAAACTTGGCTGCAAATGATATCAGAAATGAAGTTTGATTTTTCGAAGCTAATTGGTATCACAGCTTAAGATGCCGCAGCAATGATAAGACATAAAAAAGATGTGTTGCATTACTGCAAGAACATATGGAAAGCGTTGGAATCACTCTTGTTAAAATTAATTGCATTATACATCAAAAGATATTGTGTGCCAGTTTTTGAATTTTAAGAATGTTATGAATATCGTTGTGGAAGACGTGAATCTGGTTCAATCTCATCGATTAAATCATCGCCAATTTAAATAGTTTTTGTCAGACACTGAGGCAGAAAATGGTGACCTGCTAAATTCTGCGATTTATACTTGTCCTTGCCGAAGACCAATGCTAAAAAGTGCACTTACCTTTCACAAAGAGCTGAAGAGAAATGAACTGACTTCATTTTGATACCACTATCATTATTCTATCTGCTCTAAAACTTATTTTATAGGATTGGAGACCTTAATTATCAATCAGCCCATGTCATTTTGAAGAGAAATAAATTGACTTCATTTTGATACCAGTTTCATTATTCTATCTGGTCTAAAACTTGTTTTATAGGATTGGAGACCTTAATTATCAATCAGCCCATGTCATTTTGAAGAGAAATAAATTGACTTCATTTTGATACCAGTTTCATTATTCTATCTGGTCTAAAACTTGTTTTATAGGATTGAGACCTTTACTTATCAATCAGCCCTGTCATTTTGAAGAGAAATAAATTGACTTCATTTTGATACCAGTTTCATTATTCTATCTGGTCTAAAACTTGTTTTATAGGATTGGAGACCTTACTTATCAATCAGCCCATGTCATTTTGAAGAGAAATAAATTGACTTCATTTTGATACCAGTTTCATTATTCTATCTGGTCTAAAACTTGTTTTATAGGATTGGAGACCTTACTTATCAATCAACCCTCGTAATTCTGAAGAGAAATAAATTGACTTCATTTTGATACCAGTTTCATTATTCTATCTGGTCTAAAACTTGTTTTATAGGATTGAGACCTTAATTATCAATCAATCCTCGAATGTCGGTACTAAAGTGATATTGCTATGAAGTATTCAGGTCAAAACTTAATCACTCTGATCATAACACACAATAATCGTTCGAAGCATTTAATGATTCTTAGAACATAACCAATATTTTTAGACAACCTTTTTCTTCTTTTTTTTTGTTAAAATGGGTTTTTGATCAATGTATTCTTCCGTTGTATTCAATCCTATAAACCACAAATTCTGGGAGGGGGTAGCGACTTGTGGTATCAATAGTTCGTATATTAACCACTTTTTGTCGCTATATGCAAGAAAGGGGTTTTTTTTTCTTTACTTACAACGAATACACCTGATGCAGGCTGAAGAATAAATCGGTCGAAATTTTGCGTTAACAACAGCAAATATACGAAGAAGGATTCCATTGTCAGAAAATTATTGGCTATGTTACCTTTTCAAGGTCAGAGACAATATATTTACAAGAACAACGGAAAATAAAATGGAGAAAAAATGCACAGAAAGTTATATTTAAAATAATATTTATTAAAAAGTCTATACAAATCAATAAATAGAGTAAGTAAAAAAGCTCGATATGTACATTTGCGCCATTTTAGATTCTCATTAGACCCACCAGCTATTTTTATTCATTTATTTGTTAATATTAAGGTAGCGTTGCCTGCAACTACTTGCCTAAATATTACACTTGGGAAGAAATTTTGATTTTTCTATTGAATTAGATTTCACAGTTAGTTCTATATAATTTGGGTTCGCTGAGCACAATTTTTTTTAATCAGTTTTGCTCTGTGAGGCCCTGATTTTGCTCAACACTCTTTCCCTTTCATCGTGTTCATAAAAAGGTTTTTTATTTAAGTAATTGCATCTATTGTTATATTATGAATACTTTATATATATATATATATATATATATATATATATATATATATATATATATATATATATATATATATATTATTATTTTATTATTTAAGATTATGACAAAAACATGTTGAAGTTGAAATCGCTACACAAAAGCTTTCAAGTTTCAATACTTTGATCGTACTTCTTCAGGCAAGGATAAGTAACTGAAGAAGTACAATCAAACTGTTGAAACTTCAATATGCTTTTGTGTAGCGATTTCAACTTCAACATGTTTTTATTATAATCTTTATAATAATAATAATAATAATATATTGGTCTACTTATTATTAAGCAGTCGAATTTTTATCCATATGTTTTTCTCTCATTTAATATATATATATATATATATATATATATATATATATATATATATATATATATAAGAAATGGACAAAGTCCGACAATTTATTTATTAAAGACATTTTTATCTTTTATATATATATATATATCACTAAAATATTTACAATTTTATCGTTTTTAACCCATTTTGATATTAGTAAATTAAATTGAAATATAGAACTTTAGAATTTTCTCAAGCGTTCCTGTTTTCTGTAAAATATTCTAGAGGAACAACTAAAATATATAAAAGTTCATGCATTAGCATAATTTGAAATTGGCATATGATTTAGTGAGTAATTTTGTCATCGTGATTTAATAGTTGATTTAATTAGACGTAATTTATATTGTAGTTACTTGTCCGTGTTTCTAGTTTATTTCATAGATTGTAAGTACCTAGATATAGCCGAGTGGTTAGAACGCTCGCTTTCTGACCATGGGACCCGGGTTCGAATCTTACCATGGCCGATTTGTCAGGAAGCTGACTTCTTGATGTTACTGGTTTTGCGTACGTCTAACCCAAACCTTTTGAAAGGAAATTAGCTAGCACGAAATCACAAGTCATCGTGGCCGAGGGTTTGAGCGTACCTATTTCATAGGTATTTAATTAAGTACCTATGTTCCTATGTAAAAAAGACAGGAATTTTCGACGGTATACAATTAAGAACATTATTTAAAGACGGTAATTTTTCTAATGTCATAAGTGAACATGAAAAATGCCTGGACTACCTACCACAGCTACGCGTCCGACGGTCGCGTCGACGACGACCACACGGACGTCTGACGCGTAGCTGAGGTAGGTAGTCGAGCCGAGTCTAAGTTCGACTGCAAGACTTTTCCGCGCGATTGACTGGTTATCGTAAAAGAAACTGCCTACAAACAGTTAGGTTGCAATATAAACTTTTTTTTTGCATAGGCATCTTGACCAATTTCCAAATAATTTAGGTGATATAAGTGACGGACTAGGGGAGAGATTCCCCCCAAATTATCAAAATTATGGAGGAACGACCCCAAGACCGCTAGGATTCCCACATGATGGCTAATTACTGCAGGTGCTTGAAAAGAGACCTGTAATCAACAAGCAAATACGATGGAAAATCTTATAAAAGAGTTTTTGCCACGATGAAAAATATCTACATTATTCGGACTGTTATCCTCATTTTCATTGTTATAATTCACAACATTTCGGTCGATGTACGCTCCGGCCTTCTTCAGGTGATTGAAATTTCAAATCGAACCCTTTATTTCCTCCATCAGGGTAGATTAGTCTAGTTCCACGTGCCATGCCTCTATTTCCCCTTTAACTCACCTCTCCAAGTTTTTTGGTTCACCACTGCTGTAGGCTGGTATTGAACTCATAACTCTTTGGGTCTAGTCACTGGATCGAACCAAATCCACTGGGCCATGTGACTTTGAGGACATCAGGAAGAAGCATGGCACGTGGAACTAGAACAATCTACCCCGGTGGACGAAATAAAAGGTTCGGTTCGAAATTCCAATCACCTGAAGAACACCGGAGCGTACAACGACCGAAACGTTGTGAATATGGCAATAAAAGATGAGGATAACAGTCGGGATAATGTAAATAATCATAATACCTCATTTCAGAGATATAGACAGATATTGAAAAATATCTGGACATTTTTTTATTTCTATCGTTATAATGTAATTTTATTGTTTTAACTGTTTGTATTCATATAAAAAGAATTAACACTTGACTTAGTCTTTTTAATCCTAATATGAAATGCCACTTAAGCTGTTGACAAAAATCAAGACCTGATAGCGCCAGAGTTGAAATTCATATTCAGCGTGCCCAAATTTCCCTAGAACCAAGTGTTAGATATCATTCAATAAAATGTGTTCCCCATTGCTTAATATTTTTATCAACCTTGGGTACTGTCGCCTGCAACAGTTGCCCTACGTTTAAAAAAAACTTCCAGCCCAGGAAGATTTTCTGAGTGTTACAAAAACAAAAAAAACAAAAGGTTTTTAACCATCCGTTAGTACCGTTGGGCATTGTCACAGAGTTAGTACCGTGGGATTTTCAAACATCCCATTTAATATATTATAGATACATGATTTAGATCTTAATTTTCTTGTTATATATTGTCTTGAGTGTTTTTTTTTCCTGGATTTTATAGGATAAATAAAAACGAAAAATATCAGATTAAATGGACAATATTAAAAAAAAATGAATTTTTCAGTTTCAAAATTTCAAATATGCAAAAAAAAAAAAAGATTGTATTTTATTTTCAGTACACAAAGAAAACTGCTGGGAATTGACACGAATATTACGATTAAATTCAGAAATGCATTGCAATTACTTGACAAAGATATTTAGAAAGCTACTTGACTAATAGTGATAATATAACTTTTGGATTGCTAAATGGGGTACTTAAACATGCCATGGTACTAACGGAGAGTTAAATACAAGCTATCCCTAATTCGCTGGAAGTGATTTCGTTGCTATGGTGCTGAACTGTGACGGGTTGTCTTTGACACTGGTCAACAATTGGTCATATGTTGGGTAACTGAGTATGTATTTCTTGAACGGCTGACTGCTCAGCGAGTGAAGATACTGGGACTGGTGTGACGCGCTCTCACCGACACTGATCAAGTAAAGTTTCGAGCCATCTTGTTTTAGTTTACCAGCCTCCCTCATCAGGTCTGATGTAATTGCTGTCACAGAAGGGTCGACAAACAGGACGGCAATCTGGTTCCCTACGAGGCCTTTCTTTGTGTTCTCAACGGCACGCTCGTTCAATTCTTTCCTCATTTCACTGACGACGTCCGCTAAAGTGGGGAGTTTTATGTCAATGGTTACGTTGCTGCCAATGTCTGAGGGTTCCTTGTCCATCAGGGAAGTGACCGGAACGTTGAAATTCTCTGGACAATAAGCATAGGAGACAACACCAAAATGACCGTAACCGGTGTATGGGAGCAGGTAGTTGATAAATTGTTGGATAATATGTGCCCTGTAGGCTCCCATAGAAACAAGATCATAACCAAAAGAGACAGTACCTGTGAGAGAAAAAGAAGAGAAAATATTTTAAAATGTGTATAGAAATATGTATCTATTCATATCTATCTATCTATCTATCTATCTATCTATCTATCCTCAGCTTCTTCAATACGTATCTATCTATCTATCTATCTATCTATCTATCCTCAGCTTCTTCAATACGTATCTATCTATCTATCTATCTATCTATCTATCTATCTATCCTCATTCTTCAATACGTTCTATCTATCTATCTATCTATCTATCCTCATTCTTCAATACGTTTGCTATCTATCTATCTATCCTCATTCTTCAATACGTCATATCTATCTATCTATCTATCTATCCCTCATCTCTTCTTCAATACGTATCTATCTATCTATCTATCTATCTATCTATCTATCCCCATCTTCATCTATCTATCTATCTATCTACCTATCCCCAGCTTCTTCAATCTATCTATCTATCATCATCTATCTACCTATCCCCAGTTCTTATACGTATTATCTATCTATCTATCTATCTATCTATCTATTCTTAGCTTCTTCAATACGTATCTATCTATCTATCTAATTCTGTTTGCACGTAATTCTCTTCATATCTAATTATGTTCATCTATCTATCTATGTTCATATCTAATTATGTTCATCTATCTATCTATCTATCTATCTATCTCTGTTCATATCTAATTATGTTCATCTATCTATGTTCATATCTAATTATGTTCATCTATCTATATATCTATCTATATATCTATCTATCTCTGTTCATATCTAATTATGTTCATCTATCTATCTATGTTCATATCTAATTATGTTCATCTATCTATATATCTATCTATATATCTATCCATCTCTGTTCATATCTAATTATGTTCATCTATCTATGTTCATATCTAATTATGTTCATCTATCTATATATGTATCGATTATCTATCTCTGTTCATATCTAATTATGTTCATCTATCTATCTATGTTCATATCTAATTATGTTCATCTATCTATATATGTATCTATATATCTATCTATCTCTGTTCATATCTAATTATGTTCATCTATCTATCTATCTCTGTTCATATCTAATTATGTTCATCTGTCTATCTATCTATCTATTGAGTGTATTCGATTATCACAGATTTTAGAAACATATACAACGAGGTCAGTGTATGAATGTAGCTTCATAATGGAATATACGCGTAAGAAAATAAAACCAAAACAGTGTCATACATACTTGAATCGTCTCTCTGCAGGGGCTCCGGGGAGGTTGTGGTTGGTTCTTCGGTTGTGGTAGTTGGGGCAGGGGTAGTGGTAGTTGTGGTAGGCGGCAAAGTTGTGGTTGTGGTTGTGGGTGTTGTTGTCATTGTGGTGGTCGTAGGAATCGGGGTCGTAGTCGGTGTGGTAGTTGGAGCTGGTGTCGTTGTGGTGGTCGTAGGAATCGGGGTCGTAGTCGGTGTGGTAGTTGGAGCTGGTGTCGTTGTGGTGGTGGTGGTAGTTGCCTTAGGAGTTGTTGTAATCTGAATGTCTGAAAAGAAACATAGTATTTAGGGTTTAATCTTTACAGTACGCGTGAACGAATTTACCACACACACACACACACACATATATATATATATATATATATATATATATATATATATATATATATATATATATATATATATATAATGGTAACACCAAAATATTTCAAATTGTGTTACACCAAAATTGTCCATACCACAAATTGTTCAATATTTAAAAAAAAAAAAAAACACTAAACTAATTGAATCCTTTTTGTCCCAACTTTTCAGATAAGACGTTTAGCGATCTTGATGCCATTTTGAGTTATTCAAAAAGAAAGAGAACAGGTTAAAATCGTTTTTTGTCAGACCCACTGTCTTTTCAACTGAGCAATGGTGAGAGGAAAAAGATTATTCAAACCTTCAGTAACGGTACCAACATTCATACTCTGGCTTCCATCTTCAAAGTCCATTCAAGAACCATCAAGAGAACGGTGAATAAGTTAAAAAAAGAGGAAACAGTACAGAAGAAAACTGGATCAGGGGGTCACAAAAGGATCATCATTTCAACTTAGAGCTAAAGAGATCAATTAGAAAAGAACTAAGTCAATCCATAAGGCGTTTGGCACGTGAGAGAAGTGTTTCAACTATTACAGTCTAAAATCAGTGAAAAAAACTGAAATCGTACGTGAAACGTGGGAGGCTTGTTACTCCAGAACAGAAACTTAGAAAGTTAGAGAGGACGAAAGTCATCTTGAATAAGTTGTAAAATAATCCTGGAATAATATTTATATATTTGAACTTAATTTTAATCCTTCATGATCGTTCGGGGTGTTTATTTGGGATGTTGATGTCCGGCGTTGATTTGCGACATTGATTAGGAACATTGAATTGTGACGTTTATTCGGGGCAATTATTCGATACGTTTATTTAGGATGTTGATTTGGAACGTTGATTTGCGACGTTGATTCGGGACGTTGATTCCGGACTTTGATTTGCGACCTGGATTCCAGACGTTTATTTTGGACGTTGATTCGGGTCGTTTACTTGGGATATTGATTCGAGTCGTTTATTTGGGACGTTGATACTGATCGTTTATTTGGGACCTTTATTTTGGGATATTGATTCGAATTGCTTATTTGGGAGGTTGATTCTGGTCGTTTATTTGGGACATTGATACTGGTCGTTTATTTGGGACCTTTATTTTGGGATATTGATTCGAGTTGCTTATTTGGGAGGTTGATTCTGGTCGTTTATTTGGGACATTGATTCGGGAGGTTAATTTTGGACGTTGATACTGGTCGTTTATTTGGGATATTGATTCGAGTTGTTTATTTGGGACGTTGATACTGGTCGTTTATTTGGGACCTTTATTTGGGATATTGATTCGAGTCGTTTATTTGGGACGTTGATACTGGTCGTTTATTTGGGAACTTTATTTGGGATATTGATTCGAGTCGTTTATTTGGGACGTTGATACTGGTCGTTTATTTGGGACCTTTATTTGGGATATTGATTCGAGTCGTTTATTTGGGACGTTGATACTGGTCGTTTATTTGGGACCTTTATTTGGGATATTGATTCGAGTCGTTTATTTGGGAGGTTGATACTGGTCGTTTAATTGGGACGTTTATTTGGGATATTGATTCGAGTCGTTTATTTGGGACGTTGATACTGGTCATTTATTTGGGACGTTTATTTGGGATATTGATTCGAGTCGTTTATTTGGGAGGTTGATACTGGTCGTTTATTTGGGACCTTTATTTGGGATATTGATTCGAGTCGTTTATTTGGGACGTTGATACTGGTCGTTTATTTGGGACGTTTATTTGGGATATTGATTCGAGTCGTTTATTTGGGAGGTTGATACTGGTCGTTTATTTGGGACGTTGATACTGGTCGTTTATTTGGGACGTTTATTTGGGATATTGATTCGAGTCGTTTATTTGGGAGGTTGATACTGGTCGTTTATTTGGGACCTTTATTTGGGATATTGATTCGAGTCGTTTATTTGGGACGTTGATACTGGTCGTTTATTTGGGACGTTTATTTGGGATATTGATTCGAGTCGTTTATTTGGGAGGTTGATACTGGTCGTTTATTTGGGACGTTGATACTGGTCGGTTATTTGGGACGTTTATTTGGGATATTGATTCGAGTCGTTTATTTGGGACGTTGATACTGGTCGTTTATTTGGGACCTTTATTTGGGATATTGATTCGAGTCGTTTATTTGGGACGTTTATTTGGGATATTGATTCGAGTCGTTTATTTGAGACGTTGATTTGGGATGTTGATTCGGGACGTTGATTCAGCTCACAATAAAAATAATACAACATACCGTCGAAGATAAGAAAAGAAAGCTTAATTTAAACAAGCAACGCCCCCCACCCACCCAAAGAAGAAATTATCATACCTTTACATGACTTTATGTTAAAAGTCTTGACAATGCTTTCCAGTGAAGAATAACTAGACACCGTGTACACGTTTTTAGGACGGCTAGCAATACCATACAATTCAGACAAATGATAATAATATCCAACACCAATGGCGTAGACATTGACTCCGAGTTTATGAAGTCTTTTCGCTTGCTTCCGAGTGTCTTTCGTATTACTCGACATACCGTCTGTGATGACTACAACAATGAAGGGAGCAGTCGATGTTTTTAGGTGGGAATTAACTTCCATTCTGACAAGTCTGAGCGCTTCGGCTGTGTTGGTCTGTCCTTGTCGGTAGGGAATACTGGCAATTGCCTTTTTCAGTTGGTCTTTGTCTGTGTATTTGTCCAGGGAGAATTCCAGATGGGCATGACTGCTGAAGGTAATGGCGCCGACGTGGACTTGGGAGTCTGCCGGACCGACGTCGAAAGGTTCGACGAGTTTCTCAACGAACTTCAGTTGTTTGTTGTAATCGACAATCCAAACGCTGCTTGAAGAATCCAAAACGAAGATCATGTTGGCTGCTTTACCGGAACAACCTGGAAATATTAGACAAAAATAGTTATTGATCTGAAGCAATCGGATACTCTGATGTGACAAAAGACATGCTTAGTATCGAGTAGGAATTCCCAACTCAGGCGAAGTACTTCATTTAAGGTCAATTTGATTTATGTAGTATTATAATGATTTTGAGAACTAATGGATAGCGGCTTGGATTGAGGAATCGGAGAGCCGAGTTTGAAAAAATTTAAAATTCTTTTTAAGATATTGGGGGTCGCTGTATTGTAGCATACTTTTCCATTAATCATTAGGAAATAAAGATTTAATTAATAACAATATCACTTGACCAATAGAAATTAACCTTTATAAATTAATTTTAAAATACAATTCTTGTAAAAATTCTTTATTCACCGAAAAATGTTTTTCCTTAACTCTTACGACAATAGTGTCCATAATATATTTTATGCATAAAGATAAATATTTTCTAATTAAATAATGACTTAGTTTCATTGCATTTTTTTAATTTATGATTCAGAGCAGATTATCTGTAACTGGATTACTATTTTATAACAGAAATTGATAATTTAAATTCGCCAAGGATATGTTTTTAAAACTAATATAAACATTAAGCCTTACAAAAATGAATTTCTCGAAATTTCATGAAAGTGGGAGGTAACATGCAAAATATTTTTTTCACAGAAATTTTTTTAAAAAAGGATTGTGACACGGTGGAGTAATGGATAGTGGCTCGGAGTGAGGAATCGGAGAGCCGAGTTCGAATTCCAGTCAGATCCATTACATTCGCTTATGTGCTAATACCCTTGGGAAAGGTATAAAACCTCTTCATTTCCCCCCACCCCAGCTATGGCTAAGTCGCAGGACAGACCGGGTTCTATAGCCTTGGATGGCAACTAGTCTACAGCAGAAAGAAATGGCAACCTACTGCGGGAAAAAATCAGCCTAGTCAGTTATGTATCGAAAGGCACATGATCGCCTAAACGTGTATCACGCATGGCACATAACTGACTGAGTGTTATTTGTAATGGAAAGGAAAGGTTTTGATTTTTGACAATGTGTAGGACTGTAGCCATATTTTTCTTATTTCATCAATCTGGTTATTAGCTTATAATTTCATATTTTCAACACACAATGCGTTACCATTGTGTAAGCCTGAAATAACCCATTGTTTTGTATAATTCTCCATCCGTGTCTTCCTTTGTTGTGGGTGCTGCCAATATTTTTACACTTTTTCCAACATAAAGCACTTTGGCTGAAATTGCTGCCACATAATGGTCTGTTGCTCCTCTATAGACAATTAGGGATCAAATCAAAAGAAGAATCTACAATATTATTGGTCCTAACTTGACAGCTCGATTTCAGTCCCTTTCCCACTGCCGTAATACAGCTTATCTGCGCATTTTCTATAAATAGTTTCATTGTAATTGTTCTGATGAACTTTCCGCTATGATACCTAGACTTTATGAATTTAAGCGCACTACTAGATTGGCGGCTAGGTCTCATCAATTTACAGTTGAAATGGCTAGATGTAAACGTAAGTTCTATGCTAGCAGTTTCTTCTCTCGCACTTTTCCATTGCTGAATTCTCTTCTAGATTCTTGCTTTCCAGTTAAATTTGATCTTCAAAAATTTAAATGTAATGTCAATTGTTATCTTCTGTCTTCTTAATTCTTGTTCTTTTATTGTCCTCTCTCCTTAATAGTAGTTTTTCTCATATTCGCTAACACTCAGTAAACCCTTGCGTCCTAGTGGCTTTATTGCCTTTGATCTTCAAAAATTGATATCGTTATCTTCTGTCTTCTTAATTCTTGTTCTTTTATTGTCCTCTCTCCTTAATAAAATTTTTCTTTTTCTTATTTTGCGCACACTAATCCCTTGTGCCTTAGTGGCTTTATTTCCTTGAATGGGGTGAAATGATTAAACAAAAATGATACCTCCTCATTTAAAAAATTATTCTAATTAATATTTTTCCAATACACTTTCGATATAGCAAATTTCTTTATTTTGAATTAATGCGAAATTTAGATTATCAAAGCTAAATTATTTCATAATGTATATTTAAAGAGAACAATAACAGAATTGGTAATTTTTTTTAACGAATTTAAAAAAAATAATAATGTTGTGCTTTTGGCGGGAATATTAAGTGTGGTACTTACGTGTAATAAATGGAAAACTGGAAACAAACTTGATCTGAAAAAAATAAGTAAAATATGTGTTAAAAATATAAAAAAAATTATATTGTAAAGTGTTTTTAATATTGTGAAGGACGCGGGTTCGAATCCTACCGTAGAGCGCATCTTTTACTTTAATAAGATCTCTTAAGCATTCAGGCCGGTAGGCGAAAATTAATAAATATACTGTTTAATAAATAAACGGAGCGTCTACTTAAATACGAGTATCCACTAAAAATAACGTTTAAAGGAATAAAATTTATCAGATTAATAAAAAATCGATTCTAATATTCTCTTTGTTTACATTTGGATTTAGAATTGGGCAAATATGAAAAACAAATAATTGGTGAATCAAACTTTCTAATTTTGGTTTCAATAAATGGATTTTATGGAAAATAAAATTTACCAGCGATGAACTCTACCCCATCCCAATCTCTAACTACCCCAGAAACTTTTATTTAGTCCAAGGCGCGTTGAGGGGGGGGGTAGATTATTCTAGTTCCACGTGTCATGACTCTTAGTTTCAGTCAATTCCATTTAGTTACCAAATTCCCCAATTTTTTGTTCAGTTCTGCTCTAGCCAGGTATTGAACTCACAACTAGTCCTGATCTGGCATCTCGTCTATAGTCACTTTCTCACAGACGTGGCGTGGCTTCCCTCTGCCTTTTCTACAAATAATTTCATGGTAACTGCTCTGACGAGCTACTTTCACTGGTACCCAAACTGCATGAATTTAAGCGTGCTACTAGGTTGGCATCTCAGCCCCACCCTTTCACTGCCAAAACAATTACATGTAACCGCCTCTTTTACTCTAACAGCTTCTTCTCTCGCACTTCCCGACAGTGGAACTCCCTTCCTCTTACTTGCTTTCATGATAGCTATAATCTTCAAATATTCAAATATAATGTCAATCGACATCATCTGATGCCCTGATCCTGACCCCCGTCCTTCTCTATATCCTTTCCTCAAACACCCCTCTTTACTCTTGCTCTCTGTCACCCCTTACGTGCTAGTCGTACACCCGTCTTGCTTGGGGTGATATTTTTTTAAAAAAAAAAGAAAGAAAAGTCACTGGAAAGCTCCAATCAATGCCTAGTAGATAAAAACGTTGGTTTAATAATCCAGTGATTTGACTAAATAAAGAATTCGGTTCGTAATCCCAACAAATACCACCTGAAGAAGGCCGAGCGTACAACGACTGAAACATCGTGAATATGACAATGGAGATGAAGACAACAGTCCGAACAATGTAAATAATGTAAATAGGTACAGTATCTCATCTCAGAAATGTAAACAGATCCTGAAGAAGGCCGGGCGTACAACGGCCGAAACGTTGGGAATATGACAATAAAGATGAGGACAAAAGTCCGAGCAATGTAAATAGTGCAAATATTTAAAATTCATTTACCATATTTGCTTAGGACAAAATTTTCAAAACCCAAAGTGCTGTATGGTATAAAAGTTAACGATCTCGGAATGAGAAATCGGTGGTCCGCTTTCGAATCGCAGTCGGGTTCATTACATTTAAGCTATGGTTTGAATAGCAGGACAGGCTGAATCCTATAGCCTTAGTTGGCAACCAGTCTACCGGAGAAAGGAACGCCAACCTACTGCGGGAATATCTTCTGCCTAGTCAGTCATGATACGAAAGAGACATGATCGCTCAAGCGTGTATCACGAATGACACTTAACTGACTCAATGTTCTTATGGTTGAATAGCAGGACAGACTGGGTCCTATAGCCTTGATTGGCAACCAGTCTACCATAGAAAGGAACGCCAACCTACTGCGGGAATATCTTCTGCCTAGTCAGTCATGAATCAAAAGAGAAATGATCACCCAAACATGTATGCCATTTAACTGATTGACTGTTGCTACACTTTAGTCTAACTAAATATTTTAATTAAATATTATTCCTTTTTAAAAAAAAAATTGAATTCTATATTTGCTTTGTCCAATTTTTAAAAAATGTAAGTAACCAGTCATAAAAAAACGTTTACAAAAAAATCGTCACCAATGCGAAATTTTGCAAAACTGTGTTAATCCCCAGACATAGTAAAATTTCTTCATTAAACTTCTTTTTTTTTTTTTTCATTTCACGTGTTTTCGTGGTGTCTAATTAAATAAATTATTTTTTCAGTCTTAAACTAAATAGTTTTTGTTAAATGGTGTAAGTCATATGATAGGGGAGTTAACACTTAAAACTGAACTTTCTAAACATGTGTAGAGAAAGACTTGAAATATTAACCCTTTCAGCCCTAAGCACCGCTTTTCCGGTGGCAGAGAAAAATGACGTAATGCCCAGCCACCGGTTGAACAGTGGTACAGAAAAATGACTTAATGTCCAGCCACCGGTTGAACGGTGGTTAAACACTTGTAACTATTTTTATATCTACCGTGAAATATTACATACCAATTATTTGCGAATTTTGACTCAGGAGCTCAGGTAGGAAGGTTAAAATTATTCAGGAACGAGGGTTCAAACAGTTAATAGTAGTTTTTCTCATTACACTCAGAAACCCCCTTGCGTCTTAGTGGCTTTATTGCCTTTCATCTTCAAAAAATTAAATGCAATGTCAATCGTTATCTTCTGTCTGATTAATTCTTGTTCTTTTATTGTCTTCTCTCCTTAATAGTAGTTTTTCTCATATTCTCTAACACTCAGTAACCCTTTGCGTCCTAGTGGCTTTATTGCCTTTGATCTTCAAAAATTTAAATGCAATATCAATCGTTATCTTCTGTCTTCTTAATTCTTGTTCTTTTATTGTCCTCTCTCCTTAATATTAGCTGTTCTCATATTCTCTAACACTCAGTAACCACTTCCGTCCTAGTGGCTTTATTGCCTTTGAACTTCAAAAATTTAAATGCAATATCAATCGTTATCTTCTGTCTTCTTAATTCTTCTTCTTTTATTGTCCTCTCTCCTTAATAGTAGTTTTTCTCATATTCTCTAACATTCAGTAACCCCTTCCGTCGTTAGTTACATAAGTTACTCGTATCATGATTGCACTTTCAAAAGTCACCTTAAAAGACACTAATAGGAAAATTGAAGATGTAGGGTTCAAAAGTCACCCCAAAATTACAAGTAGAAAATTTTAAAATTAAGTAGGTCTCTGCCTTCAAAAGTTACCGCAGATGTCACAAATAGGAAATGTTAAATTTAGTGATGTTGTGCTTTCAAATATCACCTTAAAAGTCCCAAATAGAGAAATTGAAAATTTGTTTAGTAGGGCTGTGCTTTCCAAAGTCACCCAAAAATGTCACAAGTAAGAAGCTTGAAAATTTGGTAGGTCTCTGTATTGAAAACACCTAAAGTGTTATACGTAGTGAGACTGAAAATTTAGTAATGTTTTACAAAATTCACCCCAAAATTCCCAAAAGAGAATTTGAAAATTTTATAAAGTTGTACTTTTAAAACCAAAAATTTAGTAGGTATTTGCTTTCAAAAGTCTCCCAAAAAATTACTAATAGGACAATTTTAAATTTACTAGGACTTTCAGTAACTGTCTATATTTCTGAGATGAGGTAATATGTACAATATTTACATTATTAGGACTATTGTCCTCATCTTTGTCGCCATATTTATGACAACGTTTCGGCCTTTCAGTATCTGTCTATATTTCTGAGATGAGGTATTATGTACACTATTTACATTATTCGGACTATTGTCCTCATCTTTGTGTCGACATATTTATTACAACGTTTCGGCCTTTCAGTATCTGTATCTTATGTACACTATTTACATTATTCGACTATTGTCCTCATCTTTGTCGCCATATTTATTACAACGTTTCGGCCTTTCAGTATCTGTCTATATTTCTGAGATGAGGTATTATGTATTTTACATTATTCGACTGAGTCCTCATCTTTGTCGCCATATTTATTACAACGTTTCGGCCTTTCATTATATTTCTGAGATGAGGTATTATGTACCTTTACATTATTCGGACTATTGTCCTCATCTTTGTCGCCATATTTATTACAACGTTTCCGGCTTTTCAGTATCTGTCTATATTTCTGAGATGAGGTATTATGTACACTATTTACATTATTCGGACTATTGTCCTCATCTTTGTCGCCATATTTATTACAACGTTTCAGCCCTTTCAGTATCTGTCTATATTTCTGAGATGAGGTATTATGTACACTATTTACATTATTCGGACTATTGTCCTCATCTTTGTCGCCATATTTATTACAACGTTCCGGCCTTTTTGTCGCCATTTTATTACAGTATCTGTCTATATTTCTGAGATGAGGTATTATGTACACTTATTTACATTATTCGGACTATTGTCCTCATCTTTGTCGCCATATTTATTACAACGTTTCGGCCCGTTGGACGCTTCTGAGATGACACATGGTACATTTACATGGATAAATCTTTGTCGCCATATTTATTACAACGTTCCGGTTTTCAGATCCATATTTCTGAGATGGATTATGTACCAAATTATTCGGACTATTGTCCCTCATCTTTGAGTTCTTATAACGTTTCGGCGGTATCTGTCTATATTTCTGGATGAGAATTTACGGAGAGGGGAATTAACAACTGATAACTGACATCCATTAAACATGGCATTATTCGGACTATGGAACTTTGTCGCCATATTTAACAGTTTCTACCCCAGTGAGCGAAATAAAGGGTTTTACAGTTCGACATTCCAACCACCTGAAGAGTGCCGAAACGTTGTAATAAATATGGCGACAAATTTCTGAGATGAAGACAATAGTCCGAATAATATAAATAGTGTTAGTAGGGTTTTGTTTTCAAAAGGCCATCTCAAAGATTACAAAAATTTAGAATTTAATAGGGTTTTTCTTTCGAAAGTTACAAGTAGGGAAAATCATATAATAGAGCTGAGTTTTAAAAATATTCAAATATTTAATTTTTACAACGTTTCCGTGGAGAGCGATTTTTTGGACGAACTCACTGTAGCAGTCAATTTTTTTACAACGTTTCGGACGTATCTGTAAGAATTATATTGAAGAATTTCACAAGTAGCTCTTTCCAAAGATTAGTTAGTCTAGAGGTTTCCAGATTGGTTTGTTGCGACAATTTAGTGAAATTAATTGCCCGTTTTCGTTTATTATTCACTAAATATTTTATTTTGTCGCCATATTTTTTACCGTTTCGGCCTTTCAGTATCTGTCTATATATATATTAAATGATATATTTGGCTTGGCTCAGAATTTAATGTATCGTAAAAAGAAGTTTATTTTTTCGTGCGTGGCCAAATCAAAAAAGTCTTTGAGAAGAAAAGTGCTGTGAAACGTTAATCCAAACCATCTTAAAATTGCTTTATCAACTTTTTAAATTTTATTTATTTGAAATGATTTGGAGGCGTCCAATTTAAGTAAAAAAAAGAAAGTTTAAAAAAAAATTAAATAACAATTTTTGATAAATGACGTAAATTATACGTCAGAGAGAAATTAAAACCTTTTTTTTATTTTTTTATGGACTGATTTTATTTGCTTACGACAACATTCCAGACTAGCCTACAGCGACAATTTAAGTGTAATTAAAAACCAGTTCTTTCTTGAATTAATTTTTTTTCCATTCAATATTTCTATTTATATAAATTTTGAATTATATATTCGGTTTCGGTAAGTAATATTTCGCAAAAAAAATAATAATAAATAAATAAAAAAAATAAAAATAAAAAAATTATGAATATTTTTAAAAACTGTGTCACTGATGTAAAATATTTGGAAATTCATCTGACAAGGCTATTTATGTGAGATATTGAGCATTGAGCTAACTACAGGAATAATAGCTTATAACATTCATGAGCAAACTGCGGCCCTCGGCCCACAGGCGACCCGATTACCATTCTGAATGTTATGCTTAATTTCATGAGGAAAATAACATTATTAAAATGTGTTTTGCTTTCTTTTGTCCTTGCTTGTTCACTCAGGCATTCTCATATATAATGACATCCACAAACAATAATTAACTACAATGGTTCTTGAGTTTTGTAACTTTTTCGATGAAGGTAACTTTGTCAGCATTTTAAACAGCGGTTTCCCAAGAGGATAGAATCTAGGTAGAACTCAATGTCCAGGACAGAGTAAGAATATAATATAAAAGGATCAAACACTAATATTTCATGGTTCCAATGTCATAAATTTAACCATGGAATATTAGTGTTTGAGTTTTTCATTCACATATATATATATATATATATATATATATATATATTGCAACAACTTATAGATCGGCATTAATTCGACCATACTCCATCTTCGACAGTTTTCAGAATCGAAAAATAAGGATTTTTTTATGGATTTAAAAGTCGTGTCTTTTTCATGCTGGATCAAAATTAGGTTTACAGATGTTTCATTATTTGTATCACGTTTTAAATCTAACTTGCACGTCCCCATTATAATTTAGCCGTAAGGGACTACCTTAACCAAACCCTTCCACGGCGTTAGTTCGGAAGAAGAAGCAGTATCGAATGGCCACCACGTTCATCTGACATAACATAAATAATTTCTCTTTTGGGTGTATAGTAAAGAATGAGGTTTATGAGAGTAATTCCCACACAGTGGAAGAATTAAGAGTACATCACAGAAGTATTTACTGAAATTAATGCAGATCTAGATTTATATGGTGTTATATATCCTCGTGTTGTGGCGATGTTCCAGAAATATTGAAATGTTGAAGGAGGCCATTTTGAGCGCTTAAGAGATTAAAGTGTGCTAAAAATATGTAAGTAAATTGTTAAACAAATATACATGAACAGTTTTGCAGAAATATGATTGTAACAAATGAATATTAATGTAATAAAATATTGTTAAAATACTAAAGAGCGTACTAGCTAAGTGCAGGCCTACCTTTGGGGTACTGGGTAAGACGATAAACTACATTCAACAGCAAGGCCTCTGATTAGGTAGATTTGAGGAGCATGCAACCACGTTTTAATTTCTAGTGTTCTTAGGTCCACCCTGATCCATGGTGGTAGCACTTGTTAGTGTCCCATCTATGGGAAAATAGTTAACTTCTAAATTGGCGTCAAAACACTATGAAAGTGTAAAAATAGGTTTTTAATACCAGCAATAGATTTTTGTAAAAAAATTATTACTAGCAATTCATTTTGGAAAAAAAATATTAACAGCAATAAAAATCTTATCGGCATTAAATTATCCATTGAGGTGGATATGTTGTAAAACAGAAAGTAAACTGGCCCACCCTGTATAAGTAGAACATACACATTAATCCTAAATTATTGAACTGATCTGTTATTTTAAAATGCCAAGTTCGAAATTATGTTAATGATTTTTCTGAATTTTTAAAACTTTAAAAAATGATTTTTGGGTGTAGTACATCTTATGATGAACTCTTAAATAAGATTTCCCATAATGCTATGTAACTCCTCTTAATTCAGTGTTTTGAATAAAACGGCACATACTGTTTTATAGACTTTTCAGCAGTTCTTTCCCTGAAATAATGGCTAATTCAAGTAATTTCTTTCCGTTTTGGAAACATGGCAAATCCATAAATTGAAGAAAAAAAAAAGTTTTGTTCGGCATAAGTATACAGTAGCTAGGGAAAATCGAACACTACTACTTAATAACAATCAGGGTACCTCTAGGTGGTGTAATGGTTAGCAAGCTTGTCTCGCTCAGAACTATTGTGATTGAGTAGTGAGTTCGATCCTAACTGGGTACCTCATACTTTCGGTCTTGTGCCACATCTGAGCTACACTTGGAAAATCACTTAATAACAATCAACCTCACCTGGTTGCTAATCGTCTAAGATATTTACTAAGTTTTAGCACAAGACCACAGGTTGGATACCTCAAAATAAAAAAAAAATTGTTACAATGTAAAAATACTTTCTGGCTTTAAATAACATGCAAACGGATGATAAGACATAAAAAAATGAAGCAATCACTGTTTTTTTTTTTTAAAGAAATTTTGTCTTGTAATCAATTTTCGGGATAGATCCTCAGGTGCTAGAGTAAAACTGTATAAAAGCTAAAGTATATATTTAAATTTAGTTTTTATCCAGGTCATTTTAAGATCTAGAAGACTCCCTTATTTAAAAGACAGATTAATCCATAGAAAATGATTTTATGTGCCTTCCAGAAGGTTCTTGAACAACAGAAATTGTCGAATCTCGCTATTGAGGCCTCAAAGTCAGGTTTGATATTTAAGACCACTCCTTTCCGAGAAACGTTACTTTGCGGAATTGACTCCCAAGTGGATGCTTCCTCGATCGCTACAATCTGAACCCCCTTCAAGTCTAGGGCTAACTGTTATCGATCTTACATATCATTATAATCTGTACTTCTCCATTCCTATTGCGTCTATGTGACAATTTCATTCATGCTCTGCTTTGAATGGCTCTTGGGCCTTTTACTGGATGAACATTTAGTTAAAACAATTAGGAATATTAAGTTTGCTTTAAATATTAAACAACTATAAGTATGTACCTAGAAAAGGCAAAGGAAAGTCACATTTGGATGGGAGAGCTGCTTACGGCCATATTCCTTTGAAATACCGATTCTCGGACATTCACCAAAGTTAAGTACCTTCAAGAACGCTTACTTGCAAGTTAGTGCGTGGATGTGCGGGTGGTGTAATTGTCAGAATTGGAAATCGTAGATATGAGTTCCATTTCCAGTCGATTTCGTTGTATTCACTAACTTGAGAAAGATATGAATGCACCTTTTTTTTCCCCAGCTATGGGTTAATTAGCCGGAATTTTGTCCCTAAACCATTAATATCTCAAAATAATAAAAAAAATTGTTACAATGTAAAAATACTTTCTGGCTTTAAATAACATGCAAACGGATGATAAGACATAAAAAGATGAAGCAATCAAGCAAGCACTGTTTTTTTTAAAGAAATTTTGTTTTGTAATCAATTTTCGGGATAGATCCTCAGGTGCTAGAGTAAAACCATATAAAAGCTAAAGTATATATTTAAATTTATTTTCCATCGGGGTCATTTTAAGATCTAGAAGACTCCCTTATTTAAAAGACAGATTAATCCATAGAAAAGAATTTTATGTGCCTTCCAGAAGGTTCTTGAACAACAGAAATTGTCGAATCTCGCTCTTGAGGCCTCAAAGTCAGGTTTGATATGGATTGCTTGAAAAAACACAAATTTCCTGAATTGCTCATGAAATAGAAAAGGGAATTATTTTAGCTATAAGAATATTACTGATTTATTGATTTGTTTTTTACGGCTTATCAACCCTGTTAATGTTACTTAAAGCCGAAACATTTTTTGATTGGAAGTATTTTTTCAGGAGATAATAATGATTTTCTCATACAAGTCCTACTATGTAACCCATAGCGGGGAGAAGAATATCTGAGTTTCATATTCCTGAGAATATATATATATATATATATATATATGATTAAATAAGGAACACGTAGGAACCGCTTTATATATATTTAACATATGTCGCTATCAGTTTTGTCACAAGATTTTGAAACAAAAGCTGAATTTAATGGAGTGTGATAAGTTCATATCATTGAAGAATATGGCTTCAACCATCGTCCGGTTCACACTCCTCCCCGTTCCTCTGAACAGGGTAGACGTTTATCCATTGTTTCCTGTTTTGGATTGGGTTTCCGGTTCTTTCTGAAATCTTTTTATTCTCTTTAGCCGCCAGTAGCCCCCTTGCGTCTTAGTGGCATTATCGCCTTGTTTGAAGTGAATTGATTAAAAAAATATTAAAAGCAATAACTATACGTCTTTTTTTTTTATTATTATTATTATTCTGGGAGCTCAAATATAACACAATTGATTGTTATTACAGTATCACTTGTATTTCAATGCCGCCCTGATAAAACGGATGAATCATATATATATATATATACAATTTTCTTTCGCTCTGATCTGATCTTGTTACTAACGTCTCGTACAGATTTATAACTTAAAGAAATTTACTTGACATAGAGTTTAGAAAATAAAATATAGAAAAAAAAAACAATAATTTACTCACAGAGATTAGGCAGATGATTACAACAAACGTTAAGAAATTTCGTTGCTGTTGATACTGCATGGTTGCTGTTAAACTGCTTCTTTTGTTTTTAACTTTAAGGATTTAGTTGCAGAGGTAGAAAACTGGTGTTTCTACTACTTTGCGGTGTCAATTATAGCTGATTCGCGGACAACCACATGTTTATATAGGTCTATATCGGTAAACGCTCAGACGTAAGTTAGTAACGACGCTTGGTGGAACACCGGAAGTCGGTGCCATATTTGGGAATGCTTACTAGAGCTCAAGATGACGACAGTCGTAACGGAGCCCTCTTCGAGTGTGAAACCAGATTCGAATAACTTAGATTCCCCCTTTACTATATCACAACGTTTTCGGGAGACCATTGACAGAAAAAATACAGCAGCCGTGACGTCAGAGTAAAAAGAAGCGGCGAGTGGATGACGGAATAGAAAGAATGCAGAGGCGAGACGTTGTGTTTTGGGCGGTTCTTTTCATAGTAGAATTACTGAGCAGAGGTTTTGTCAACGAAAGTCTCAAATAGCACCAGAATCTCCCAAGAGACGAACCCAGTTGAGATTGTACGATCAGATTTCGAAATGCATTATTGCAAAATGATGTTTCTTTGTATTTTTAAAGAAAAACTCATGCAGATTATTTTGTCTGTATGCGTGTAAAATTATCATTATGAGAAATTTGTTTTACTCGGACGAGTATCCTCATCTTGGTTGCTATAGTCACAAAATCCGAACTTTTGAGATGAAAAGTTACCATTATTATAAAATGATTTACTCGGACGAGTATCCTTATCTTTATTGTTATAGTCACAAAATCTGAACTTTTGAAATGAAAAGTTACCGTTATTATAAACGGATTTACTCGGACGAGTATCCTTATCTTTATTGTTATAGTCACAAAATCTGAACTTTTGAGATGAAAAGTTACCATTATTATAAAATGATTTACTCGGACGAGTATCCTTATCTTTATTGTTATAGTCACAAAATCTGAACTTTTGAGATGAAAAGTTACCATTATTATAAACTGATTTACTCGGACGAGTATCTTCATCTTTATTGTTATAGAACTTCAGATGAAACAAAATTATAAACTGAACATTTGAGATAGTAAAATCTGAACTTTTGATTAAAAAGTTATTATGAATGGAAAATATTGTGATGAGTATCCTCATCTTGGTTGTTATAGTCATAACATTTGAACTTTTGATATTCATTATTACACAATGATTTACTCGTATAATAATAATAATAAAAATAATAATAATAATTCCCCATTACGAATGTTTAGATCAAGTGACGACTCTAGTTCGACTATTTCAGTGTATAATAAATTTGTTGGTCAATTATTGTTCGAAACAATCAGAGAAAATTTTCAAATTGCCGTTTTTATATCTTTATTAGATAAATAATTTTAATTTTTCACATTCTGAAATATACCGACTATGAACAAAGACAAATCCTGAATTGGAATAAATTTTACCGAATTTCTTAAATTAACCACTGCCATCATAGATTTTTTTTTAACGGTTGGAGAATGTATGACGACCTTTGTAACAATGAACATCACTACGTAAACAGACGGCTCCATTCGTAATAAATAGGGAAACTTTTAGGTGAAATTATTTTTGTATATACTATAAACCCTTTTTTGGAGGTTTTTCAAGAATTTCGAGACGTGCAAAAGGAACATTCGGCCAGATATGGCAACATTATTCAATGAGCGGGAATAGACGACAAGAATGATTTCAGTACATTCCTCAAAGACCGATTCCAGAGACGTAAAAATTGAAATTTCCTCCAGTTTAACCATTTGCATTTCAGTAGATATAAAAACACAACACGATAAGAAAGAAATTCGAAATAACTGTATTTATTTTCGATCTTTTTAAAGAACAAAAGAACAATCAAATATATTTTGCATTAGAAAAAAGGCAAATTGACTTGACTGGAGTTTTTTAGAGATTGTTGCTCGAGTGATATTAATATAAGAAGACAGAAGATAACGATTTTGTTTTGGAAGTTTTTTTTAGAGAATCGTTATATTCAGGAAACGATTTTGCATTATTTACTCAAAATTAACAGGAAGATGAAACGGTCGATAGAAGAAATTGTATATTCAGGTTGCTTTTCAGTTTACTGATGTTTAGATTGAAAATTCATTCCCAAGGAAAATCAGAATCCAGACTTTATGCAATGAAAACTAAAGGCTAAAAAGATGCCAAAACCCATAACATTGCTGATTCTTGGGATTTTATCAAGAATCAGAATATATCGAAAAGGCAAATATTCAAAGTATTAACGAATGGAGCCTATTTTCTGGCTTGAAAATATGTCTAGCACGATACAGTGATATAAATTTAAAGATAATCCAGTAACTGATAATAGATAGATTTAGATTAGGTTGTTAATAACTTTCCATAGTTTAAATTGATTCAATCAAAGACTTAAATGGTTAAATTTTAAAAGTAAAATGAAAAAATCTAAAAAAATTCATTAGACGCTTAAAATTAATTACAAATTTAAAATCGGTCCAAAAATTATGGAACACCCTTTATATATATATAAACCCGTATATATTTCGATATATATATATATATATATAGAGTAAAATTGAAATTTTCTCCAGAGAGAGATATAGAGAGAAAGAAATTCAAATGACTAATTGATAATATATATTTTCGTCAAATTGACTATATATATATATATATATATATATATATATATATATATATATATATATATATATATATATTATTTATATACATAAATTCGTCCAAGAACGGATAGAACTGTAACACGTTGTTTGGTTGTTAATCTTTCCATGAACTCAATGTCCAGGACAGAGTAAAAAAAAATCATTAGAATATAAAAATATTACTGAACACCCTTTATATATATATATATATATATAGAGAGGATCAATTGATAATATTAGTCGTCATATATTTATAATGTAATAAATTATAATATATGGAATATTATTTATTTGAGTCTTTCTCAATGTCCAGGACAGAGTAAGAATATAATATATATATATATATATATATATATATATATATATATATATATATATATATATAATAACTTAACAACTTATAGATAGGCATTAATTCGACCATACTCCATTTTCGACAGTTTTCAGAATCGAAAAATAAGAATCTTTTTATGGATTTAAAAGTAGTTTCCTTTTTTTTGTGGTGGATCAAAATTAGTCTTACAGATGTTTCACCATTTGTATCACGTCTTAAATCTAACTTGCACGTCCCCATTATAATTTAGCCGTAAGGGACTACCTTAACCAAACCCTTAAACAGCGTTAGTTCGGAAGAAGAAGCAGTATCGAATGGCCACCACGTTCACCAATAGATTTCTCTTTTGGGTGTATAGTAAAGAATGAGGTTTATGAGAGAAATTCCCACACAGTGGAAGAATTAAAAGAGTACATCACAGAAGTATTTATTGAAATTAATGCAGATCTAGATTTATATGGTGTTATATATCCTCGTGTTGTGGCGAGGTTCCAGAAATATTGAAATGTTGAAGGAGGCCATTTTGAGCGCTTAAGAGATTAAAGTGTGCTAAAAATATGTAAGTAAATTGTTAAACAAATATACTTAAACGGTTTTGCAGAAATATGATTGTAACAAATGAATATTAATCTAATAAAATATTGTTAAAAATCTAAAGAGCGTACTAGCTAAGTGCAGGCCTACCTTTGGGGTACTGGGTAAGACGATAAACTACATGTGGAACCACATCTTAATTGCTGGTGTTACCAGGTCAACCCTGACCTGGTGTGGTAACAGTTGTTATGGTCCTAGCTGAGGGCAAATACTTAACCCCCGAACTGGGGTCAAAGTATTATGAAAATGTAAAAAATAGGTTTTAATACCAGCAATAAATTTCTTCAGGTTAAATGAAAAAAGATGGGCATGGTAGAATGGTTTTGAAAATTTAAATTTTTAAACAAAATTGTAAAAAGGTTCTTTTGTTTGTTTTTTTTTTTACAGATTTCAAAAAAAGGCTAGAAAAAAAAAGGGATTTTTCACGTATAAAACGACCTTTAGATAAGACAAAAAAAAAAAAATTTTCATTTTCTTTATATTATAAAGATGACTGTTTAAAAAATATTTTTTTAAAAAAAAATTACTAAAAAAATCTTGTCCATTAAATAACCCTTTGGGTTGATATAAAAAAAAAAAAACAAAAAAACAAAAAAAAATAAGCCAAAAAAATTTTTGGGAAAATTTTAAACAAACAAAAAATTAAACAACTTTTTTTTTTTAAAATTATTAAAAAAAAAAATATTTTGTTGGGGCCCTTTTTTAAAAAAAAAAATTTTTGAATTTGTAAAAATTTTTCAAAAATTTTTTAAAAAAAAAAAGGGAAAAAAACTTTGGAAAAAAAC